TTTATCTATTTCAAATGAATCGTGCTTTTTTCAAATCACTACGTTCCAAGCAATTTTTTTTTTTTGGAAGTTCCATGTCTTTGCTTGACCAAGTTTTGTTTTGCTACCCACTCGGAAGCCCTAGGTGAACTATCAAAATGTGGCATTCTACTCTCTAGGTATATTTTTACAATTTTTTTCCAATAAGTTAAATAAAATTATATGAATTTAAAGTCAAAATTACAAGCTCAAAAGAAACAAACAAAATATGTTTCACGTAACAACTTTATAAAATGCATTAAAACATCATCTCGTATGATACAAATATTCCTATGTGCTTCGATCAATGAGACAACTACAGGTCTCTGTGCTATCAAAGTACGCAATCAGTTGAGGGTATAGAAAAATTATCCTAGAGATGGACTCAAAGGTGTTTGTGGAAGGTACAAGGGGGCCTTCAAACAAACAAACAAAGTAAATTTAGGTTTTGGCCAAAAGAAAATTTTCACTTTTGAAAAAAGCCAACTTTTTCAAAAAAGATATAAAAACCTCTCAACTTTCAAATCAAAGACATGCAAATGTAAAGGATTCCTTAAGAAATCCAAAAATAAATAAGGCTAGTTTTGTCCATTTTAGCTTCTTTTACAAAATTTCTCTCCCCTTTGTGTTTTTCCAAAGTCTCATACAATTTAATTAGGTTCCTTTGGGTGTAGGCTTTCTTATAGGCTCTCTTTTTGTTCCTAGTTTGTTTGCATCTTGTTTGTATTTCTGTCTCGTTATTTTGCTCTCGGTTTTTGCTCCTTTTAATGAAGTTTTCAGACCCAAAAAAAAACAATATATGAATTTGAATTATGGTATATATGCTCAAGGTGTAAGGAAACAAACAAGAGATCTGGCTAGATAGCTTATTCGAAGATGGTGTGGAGTGTGGTGATTAATGTGTATAACTCAGTAATTAACAACTAATAAGCCATATTGGTTCAATATCACACCAAATTAAGACAATTGGGGCAATTAGTCAAGCTTAATTATAACCTAACTAGCTACTTATTGCCCGCTAGAAACATTATTCATATGCATGAATGAATCCAACTGAACAATTCGAACCTTAGAATGCAGGGGGAGACAACCTGGGCTTCCAAGGGAGACAATGAGTCTAAGAACAAATCAACGAGTCCAGTCTAATCTTCCATATCAAACGAAGCCTTAAAGTTATGTGAAGTATATGTCATACAGATAAATGTGAGCTGTTTTTTAATGTTTCTATCTCTTGATGATGCAGAAGAGACTCAAATGAAGCCAATCTTTGATAAAAGGATATTATAATTAATGGTTGTTCGGTATATATATATCAGTCCCCTTCTATTGAGGGATTCCTCAAATAATTTTATTTGAGGGACGCCCATTAGGGTACCCTACAATTTTTTTCATAATGATCCAAACAATCTATTTTTTAGGTCTTCATTCATAGATCATCCTTATAAAAAATTAGACAAATCGGAAACCGTTTCGACATCCAATTGTGTCTTACAAAATCAATGAACACGGTGCTTCAAGAAAATACTAAAATTTCAATAACTCAATTGAGTGGTCAAATGATATCGGATTCAAGTGATTTTTTGTAGAGATAATCTTTGAATGAGTATCTACAAAATAGACGGTTTAGATTAATGAAATACAATCCAGAGTGAGTATATGAATCATATATAGCCTTGATGATCCGCTACCAACCCTGATGTCGAAACAAATGATTAAATAAAGGCTAAATCGATCACTTTCATTTGCAAGATCGTCATTGCAAAATGGTGCACAAATGACCGACCATCAATTTGGTAGTTGCCATGGGCTTGACTGAATCAACTGCCCATGTTTTCTGTGCATAGAAATCCCTCCAATAATTCTTGAAATATATGCGCGGTCTCCTGCTTCAGAAGTGAAACCTGGTTTATGCATATGTGTCAAGTTGAAATAAAATGGATGGGCATGCATGAGAGCCAGCCAAGACAAGACGGGAATTGTCTCGTGCATGCATCAATACATGCATTACGTCCAATCATTAATGCCAAACTCTTGATATGGGAGAAATTATACACCGATTTCAACCATTCCTCCTTCCCATACTCTCTGCCCATTCTTTATCATGCATGCACAGCACATCTAATTCATTAATTATATATATATGGATAACCCTTTCAACTATACTAGTCTTTTGGCACGCGCTTTTGCGTTTGCGATAATTTTTTTATTATAAACAAATTTAAATTTATTTTAGAATTAAAAAAAGTTAATGGAAAGTTGTATTCTATAAAAATAGGATCTATTATTTGATTTTTCTTTTAATTTTAATTTTTTAGAATATAAAAAAGTGTGAATTTACCATATTATTCTAATTTAATTAATAATTTCAATTCTTAATGTTTGCATTAACCAATAACATTTTCTAGTATTTTTAATGTTTTATCATTCTCTATTTTTAACTATATATATAGTTAAATGTCTTTAAATAATACGCAACTCATGTAAGAAACAATGATGTAATTTGTGACTTATCAATGACCAACTCCTGTTAGGCACGGGTACATCAATTGTGCCGCCCTTTGCTATTGCCTACTGGCCTCGGATCATATATGCATGCGCTAGTGGTGGCAATCTACGTGTGCACCACTTCCGGTTATTAGAGAGCTCAGCCACGTCTCCCTCTAGCGTGTCTTAAACTGGTATAAGTCTTGATCGATCAGATCACATATCTAATATCTTAATATTGATTAGTTAAAATTTAATTTTGTATGGCTTAACGTGAGAAACGTTTTTCATTGAATCTTTGCTTGTAAAGTTCCTCTTGTACTTGATATAATAATCCCTTGTCGTGTTTGCCTTTCAAAACGTGTTTGATTTTCCAAAACAAGTACATTGATGATCAATTATTTTAAGAAACCGTTTGGTTCACGGCATATATTTAAGAGGAAATCATTCTTCATGTCATTTTCTAAGATATGAAAAATGAAGATTCTTTTCTCATGCTTTGTAATTTTGGGAAAGTAATCAAGAAATACCACTTTATTTCCTTTTACATGTTTGGTTTTGTGTAGGAATGTAAACCAAATTTTGTTTGATTTTCCAATTATACCCATAAGAAATCAAATAAATCAAAAATGCATTTAATGCTATATTATAATTCTAAATTATTAATTGGGACAATATGGTCATGAAACATGTGTATTTAATGTTGGCTTATTTTCCCTAACTTTCTCATGAGGAGAAAAACAAAACCCTAGGGAGAATGAGAGCTTCACTTTCCCGCCTATTTTTCTATGTGCAAGGCAATGATTTTCTATACCTGGACTTACTAAATATAAAACAACAATTAATTTCTCATCCCTAAGACTCTTTTTTCATGTATCAAATGGGCCTAAATTAAAACTGATCGTTCATTCTCACCATATCACCACATAATTAAGTAATCAACGGGTAAAGGCTGGCAAAGAACCAAAGATATCAAAATATCTTGAAAAAAAACAAAAAACAAAATTGAAGACTAAAGACAATGATTGGGCTATTTTGGGCTGGGTTGGGTTGTAGGTGGTAGAATTATCCGGAGCCCGATCCAGACCGTAAGCTGGTTGGGCTGAGGTTGTATAAGTTAAGTTGGCGAGAAAGCCTCAACATACGGCCCTTTTTAATTGGATCCAGGATCTGGTTTGAATATCAAAATGGTTGATCCAAGATTTCTATGTGCAATAAACACAAGGGAATGTACACCCTAGCCAACAACGTGATAAGTCTTCCAAGTTTTATTTTTTAATTTGTATGCAATCTTCCAAGTTCCAACCAAATGAGTTTATAACCGAATCCTAGTGTGCTAATGACATATTTATTTATTATGGATAATAACATTATTCTAATACCTGATTGTTCATGTGTATATTAATACATATGAAATTCAAAAATACGTGAATTATACATATAGTTTGTCTTAAAATTATGAATTAAATTGATCATGGGGAAGTAGTTGATCTCACACCTATGTTCTCTCTTCCTTATTCCCAACTTTCTCCAATTCAAGTAAACATGAATCCGCCATATATATTCAAATAGCCAATAACTACTTAACCATGATAAGTAAAGATCAATGTCACACTTTACGATACACTAAAATGAAGATTTTCATATTCAACACAATTTATACAAAGGGCCACATTCAAGTATGAATACATTTGAAATTTGTGCTTATAGAGAATCGAAATCATTCATTGAAAATCCTAAAATTCTTCTTATAACTATGTTTATCATCTATAAGAAGAATGTTAGGCAAATAAATTAGTGATTATTAATAGAGATGATGTGTGTGATTTTCGACCCTAATTGGTATTCACTCCAAAAAGCTCAATACACCCAAAACCCTTCCGGTTTAAGTTTGGCAATCAATATATAGAATTCTTGTTCGGCAACGAATGAGAGCGACGGTTCGTTTTGTATGTTTTTAAACCATAAACCACAGTTAAACAACATTCAATTACACACTGCGCACACACACACAGAGAGTAGCCTCCATCACCTTTTTTTTTTTTTTTTTTTTTGGGCTTTTGTTTTTGTGAGGGTCCCTTTCACAATAAAAAGTGACCCTAATATCCCACGTAGCTTACACATGCTCATCTTTATCCACTACAGTTTACGCAACAATAAAACCCTAATGAATTTAATATCAAAACATATTATTATTCACCTGAAGTTTTAAGTTAACACTCCAATAACAGATGTTTTTATTTTTTATTTTCAGAGACCATATATATATATATAAATTAAAAATAGGACGCATAGTTACATTTATACCCCACTATCTGGATTCTGGCTTGAGCTTTAACTTACCTTATTTATTTTTACAGTGACAAATATTTACCCAACACAAGATAGAGAGACATTGGTGCGTCATGTTATTGGGTGAGCACTTAAATTTATTTTTTCTTCTGAAAAAATAAATAAAATACTATAAATGAGAATAATAATAGTGAGTGATGAAAATGTCGGGAAGATTCGGAAAAAAGAAAAGAAAAGAAAATTAAAAAATAACCAAGCTCAGGGCCTGAGGAACTGAATGATTAGCGAAAATCCCTCGGTGTCAGTTATATTTCCGGCAATCCACTGCAGCTATATACCCTTCTAAAATCCCAAATTCTCAATAGTTATTGTGTAAATTCTCTTCCTTTTGCTTTTGCTCTTGTTCTTCAGTTGCTGGATTGAATTGGGTTCGTTTCAGTTTTTGATTTGGACTTTCATCCATCCTCTTACCTCCATTTGTATATATGATCCCAAGCTCAAAAGCTCTGTTTCTGTTTTTTATACTTTGTATTTGTATAGGGTCGTCCTCCTCTACAGGCTAAATCTAGCTAAAGCTTACCAGCAATCACTAGGCCACTAGGGTAGGGGGTTTCTAAAGCAAGGGGGGCAGTAGAAGAAGAACATGGAACTCCGCGTCTTCTGGGTCCACGTCTCTGTCACGTGACTCTGAAATCTCATTGTTACAGTCGTCGTCGTCGTCGTCGTCGTCCCTGATCTTCGTGCTCTGCTCTCTCAAATTCTTCTATCTGTCTCCGTCTCTGTGGGTTATATTTTCTTATGTTTGTGTGTTTATGGCTTACCAACAACAACACCCCCACCACCACCACCATCTTCATCAGCAACAGCAGCAGCAGGGAGGGGCTCAGCTGTTCAATTCCCCATTCGGGGACACGACGTTGACGAAGGTGTTTGTGGGTGGGCTGGCCTGGGAAACCCAAAGCGACACTCTACGACGTCACTTTGAGCAGTTCGGCGACATCCTCGAGGCCGTCGTGATCACCGATAAGAACACCGCTCGATCCAAAGGCTATGGCTTTGTCAGTACCCATCTCTCTCTCCCTCTCTTCCTCCAAATGAAATACCACGTATTTGATGAAGTTTCAATTTCAATTTACTAATTAGCCTTCTTTGGTTCTTGGTCTGTTTTTGTTTGGAGGGTTTAGGTCACATTTCGTGATCCTGATTCTGCAAGAAGGGCTTGTGCGGACCCCAACCCTGTGATTGATGGCCGCAGAGCTAACTGTAATCTTGCTTCTCTGGGTCGGCCTCGACCTTCTTTCCCATTTCATGGTATCTATATCTTCATTTGTCATTGTTTTTTTTGCCTGAGTTTTCTTCTGTTGGGTACTTAGCTACTGCTTTTGTAATGCTTGGGTTGCTTTCAAAATTGTTGTTATGATGGATTTGATTACAGGGCAACTGAGATCAGCAGCTCCAATCCTTGGTCGTGTGCAGACACCTAGAGCTGCTTACATGGGGAGCCCAAACCCTGCTTACCACCACCCTCTTCCTCATGGTTACCAGCCTGGATTTGTATACCCTTCCTATGGGTGAGTTCTAAATTATAGACATCAATTTTCAGCTCAAGTACAACTGTTGAGACCAGTTGGGTGTTTATGCAATTTGGCTCTGCTTGTCTTGATTTCAAACTGCAATATTCCATTTTCCAAACAAATGCAACTGTCTGATTGGGTATTGTTTCATCAACAACAATTTCCTCAGCACTCCATTTTGGATATGTGAGCTAGTGGTAATCAGTTTTGAGTATCTAAGGACTGAAACTTTAGCTAGTTAAGGTCATCTTCAGAGAGGACATTAACTCCTTTCTTTATGGGAAATTTTATAGCATAGTGCGTTTATCATTTATTGTGTGTTGAATGCTGGGATAGGCTTGATGAACACAGAAGATGACTAGCATTAATCTGTCTGATAGGTCCAGTTCAATAAGAATCTTATTTTGTTTTCTCTGCTTTGCATCTTTTCGCACAATGAACCCCCTTTTATTCCTGGCCACGTAACTGACGACAATCTTCAAAATGCTTGCCTGGAAGCTTGGGTTTTGTACATTGTTAAAACTCCGTATGTCTATGTGATCTAAAAAGATTTTTTAATTTAATTTATGCATTGCAGGTACACAGCATATGGACCTGAGTATGTCTACCCACAGGTCATTACTTTAATATGTGATTACAAAGCTTCTGCTTGAAATAAAATAGTTTAAAAATAAATCTTTGATTGTTTGAAAGCTAATTAAGCCTGCTACCGTTTTGTGTTCATCAACTTTCTCCAGGGTGCCTACAGTCCTTACATGAATCAGCAATACCTTCAGATATACGGGGTACCGGGCACAGTAAACCCTGGCGCATATCCATACGGACAATTGGGTCATTCTCTCTCCGGCACTCATGGCTATGCAGCGGTTCAAAGCTATGGAGTTCCAGGCCATCATATAATGCAATTTGGCGGCTCCAATGTCAGTGGAGCATCCCCAGCTTCCATCCCCACAATTCAAACACCATATCCTACAGGCAACACCAAAACCCTTCTTCCCATTTATAAGAATCAAAACACATCTTCATTGAATTTGATTGAAAGCTTTTATCGGTTATGCATATAAAAGTAATACACATAGTTCTCCCAATTTGATACATCTCCTCTTGAAGTTTCTTAAACTTTATTATCATAATTCTTGTATAAATGGAGTGATTCTGGCTTGCTGGGTTTTATCAGGTTTAGCTGCACCAGCTCCAGGACAGGCGCAACTTATACTTCCTACTAATTCTCCTCAATTCACCAGTGGTTCCGATCAAACTGCCGGTTGAGTGGTAAATCGGAAAGGACTAAGAGAAGCTACTGCTACCTAAGTAGCAGGCTCTAATTCTAGCCTTGCAAAGTTAATATCTTTGCTTTCTAGAGGTGACATCTGTCTTTCCCTTATAAAGTAAGATTTTACTAGCTAACATCCATAGCTGTAGAATAAAATTGTAGCTTTGCTTTTTCAAACAGATTAAATGTACCATCACAAATTGCAATTTAACCAACATCAATTTTTGACTGATAGTCCTTTTTAAGCTCCATTATTTCTTATCAAAATCATAAAGTTCCCAACTTTGTGGATTTTTAGTCACATCTGAAGCAGTGTTTTTTTTTCTTCCTTAAATTTTTTTTTTTGGGTTTATGAATCTTCTGAATATGGTAAGTTTAATCATTGCAGGTCATTCATGAAGGTCATCAGAGATGCTGCAAAGTCAGCTGTTAGATGTTGAGTCGTTCTGAACCCCTTGAGTTGTGAGGATGTGGAAGAGCATGGGTTTGCTTTTTCACCTGTGTCTGTAAAATATGCTGTTGTTGTGCCACGTGGCTGAAAGCCACTTGGCATAATATTGTTGTGGGTCAATGTGTTTGCTGGATATGGTTTTCTGGCAAGCGCATGTAATAAGATTGTAAATTTGTAAATAACCTCCCCGCTCTCTCTGTATGTATGTATAAGAATCAATACGATTCGTTTTGTGGACCCAACATATGGGTTCACAGTCGATGCCCTGGTGCGCTGCGCATTGGTGCACTGCTGCCTCACATTGTATTTAGCACAAAGTCATTGCTGAAATTTGAATTTGTCTATTCAATTGGGGTTTCTTCATTTTCATTTAGGGCTGGCTGATTCTGAAGCCTCTGCTTCTTCTTCTTCCATTTTGTTGTGTAACTTGTCATTTTGCCTGTTTACACAAAAAAGAAACAAGAGGAAGTTTCTTACTATGCTTAGCCACGGACCAAAGGAAAAGGAAAGAAATCTGAGATGGTGTGTGCAATTTTTAAAACAATAATTCTAAGAGCAGCAATTTATTATGCAACTTTTAAACTTTTATATCCAAATCGATGCGATAGCATTTCATTTTGTTATATTTAGGTCATCTTGATAGCATTTCAATTTGTTATATTTAGGTCATCTTGAACTTTATTTATTTATGATCAGCAAGAGTGACTTTGTGCCTGCAATACTAGTTTATTATAAAGAGAATTCACGTCGAATTTCTAGGTTTTGAATATCATACAAAATATATATTATTTATGCTCACAAGTTAGCGAGAAAGCTATAATGAGGAGTTTAAAGTAAGGATGCTATTTGAGGATGCCAATCTCACCATCAAAACATTTAAAATGTTTAAGTCCCATGATTTCTTTACATTTGTTGAGGGTGAGATCAATCTCCTCAAATAGCCTCATTCACTTTAAACTCCTCAGTATACCTTCCTCACAAATCAGTAGTATGCGCATCAAATTCTTGGGTGTGGTGACTAGAAGCCCAAAACTAGAAGCTTGGTCAAATAAGCCCAATAAACTAGCTCATATGCTGCAGCCCAAGCAGTTGTTCTGGTTATTCTATTTCACAGATTTGAATCTGTGAAGAACCAAGAGGAAGGAGACGAAGACGACAACGAAAAAGGAGAGGAAGAAAAAATCGAACACAATGGAGGAATATCCAGAAGAAATGAGAAGTCCACCGGTGAGCCTAGTATCAGTGGTGGGCTGCTCCGAACTCCACACCTCCATCTCCACCTACCTCCACTCTCTCGACCCACCGATAAACACCCTGGCCTTGCCTGATCTCTCCAAGGCCTCCCTCCTCTTGACCCCCAAGCCCACCACCACTCCCACCTCCGATTCGACCGCTCCTCCACCCGCCGGAATATTAAAGCGAGAATGGCTCCTCAAGCACCGCACCAAAGTCCCCTCCGTCGTCGCCGCCCTCTTCTCCTCCGATCGGGTTTCCGGAGACCCCGCCCAGTGGCTTCAACTCTGCTCCGACCTCGATAATCTCAAAGCCCTCCTACGCGGCAGAAACATCAAGCTGGTCGTCGTCGTCGTCTGCTCCAATCCCAACGGTCGGTGACTCCGTAGCTCAAATTCTGTAACGTAAATTGCATTGGGTTTTTGAAAAGATTGGATTTTGAATTGTATTGCATTTGAGTTGATGCAGATGAAATCTCCGAAGATCAAATGGTTGCTGTGCGGAAGCGTGCGGATGTGGATGCCAAGTACCTTCTCACGTTTTACCAAAACCCAGATGGGGACGGCAATGGTTCTCAGCTTAAAGAGTCTCTGTACAGATTGGGAAGCGTGTTTGTAGAGCTGGGCAGCAGGTATTATAGAGATGAAGGAAGAAGGATCAAAGCTCGTATTGAGAGGAAGTCTTCTAATCCTCCTGAACTCAACATCCGCTATTCCTTCAAAGTAAATCACTACCATAATCTCTATCATCTTCCATCATTTCTAGTGTTGTAGTGTTTCTCATGCTATATATTTATCAATTTCATTAATTTTTTTAGGTTGCTGTGTATGCTGAGTTCAGAAGAGACTGGGCTGAAGCTTTAAGGTTTTATGAGGATGCTTATCACACCCTACGTGAGGTACCCTTTTTCTTCTTTTCTTCAAAAATTTGTTTTGAGATGGCTAGTAACTTAAAACCCAATAGTACAATACCAATAGTCTGGAATTCCTAAGTGTTCAGTGTTGTCATATTTGTGTTTTCATTTGTTTGCAGTTGATTGCTGGGACATCAAATCGGGTGGCGATTCAACGCTTGGTTGAGATAAAAACTGTTGCGGAGCAATTGCATTTCAAAATCTCAACCTTGTTATTGCATGGTGGAAAGATTATAGAAGCAGTTGCATGGTTCCGCCAGCACAATGCTTCATACAGAAAGCTGGTAGGAGCACCAGAAGCTATATTCCTTCACTGGGAGTGGATGAGTAGACAGTTCTTGGTGTTTGCCGAGTTGGTGGAGACAAGTTCAGCAGCCATTCAAAGCATTTCACCTCTACCTATGGGCACTGCAGACAGACCTTTGACTGAGTGGGAATTTCAGCCAGCGCATTACTATCAGGCAAGCTTACTTCTCTAGCATCCTAATATTACTACCAAATCAAAGATTGGCATGATATATCCCCTAAACTTCCATAACCTTCATGATAGTTTTGTTACCCCCTGTGCAACTGTTTCAATTGTTTTCTACTCAAAGAAGCTGCTGCTTAGTCAGGATTCCTCCAGTTTCTTCCAAATTAGATTGTCTAATCAACCCATAGTATAGTTTTATTTTTAAATTCTTGTTTGAATGATTGATTAAAAGTTTGATTATCTCTAATTAATAATCAAATTTTCAGTTTCCACTTTGTTGATTCAAAATATTTTAATCTTGAACCAGTTAGCTGCTCACTACTTGAAGGAGAAGAGATCTTCTTTGGAATTTGCGGTTTCGATGTCAGAGGGCGAGATCGATTGTAGTGCTGAATCTGTAGTACCTTCATCCTATTTGGGTCAGTTTGCTCGATTAATTGAGCAAGGGGGTGCATTTGTCATGCAACCGTAAGTATCTGTTAATCAGTACCGTGATTTTTTCTTCTTGATTTTCATGAATTCTCCTACTAAAGCTTGCTAAGTTCTATTCAACATGCAGTCTTAATGATGAAGAGTATATGCGCTATGCTATTTCTGAAGGGAAAAGGTTCCAAGATTCCTTTGAAATTATTGCTTTACTAAAAAAATCATGTGAATCATACAATAATCGCAAAGTCAGGAGAATGGGCTCATTTTGTGGGTTCCAGATGGCCAGGGAATATTATGCTTTAGGCGATTTTAGCAATGCAAAACAGTCTTTTGATGATATTGCAAGTCTATACAGACAAGAGGGTTGGGTCACTTTGTTGTGGGAGGTATTGGGTTACCTGCGTGAATGTTCAAGGAAACAGAGTAGAGTTAAGGATTTTATAGAGTACTCCTTTGAAATGGCCGCGCTCCCTATATCAGCTGATGCTAGTATCCAGTCTTTCAGATTTGAAGAATCTGGTCCAGCTGGACCTGCGACTATCCTACAAAGAGAAACAATAAACAAAGAAGCTTTTGGGCTTGTTAGTGGAGAATTGAGGTTGGCATCAATTGAAAACGGCAATGATCTGAAAGTATGTGACGGGAATCCACTTCACCTGGAAATTGATCTCGTCAGTCCTCTTAGATTGGTACTTCTTGCTTCAGTTGCTTTTCATGAACAAATAATCAAGCCTGGCTCATCCACACTGGTTACGTTGTCACTTCTGTCACAATTACCTCTGAATTTCGAGATTGATCAGTTAGAAGTCCAGTTCAATCAGTCTGATTGTAACTTCATCATCATGAATGGCCAAAGGCCTCATGTAGCTGCCATGATTGACGGTCAACCAGGTCGCCGAATAGAGACTGCTCCTTCTTTGGCACTTTCTACAAATAAATGGCTGCGATTGACGTATAACATCAAATCTGGTAAGATAAAGCATATGTTCTGCACTCTACAATGTTTGATTATACATTAGGTTTCATTTTGATATGCATGCAGCAGATATTACCTGATGTATAATTGAAATGTTAGGATATCTGAGTGTAAATTTTGATATGCCTCCCTAATCTTGTGAAATTATCAGTTGTTAGAATAAACTGTTTCCAGAATCAACTTAGAAGGTGTATGAGTTAGGTGTGCATGTTGGCTCCGTTTCTTCTTTTTCCCTTTGCCAAGAGAACATTATGAAAAGTTAGTTTCGGTTTATGGAACATATTTTTCTGATCCACTGATAGTAGTTATTATATGACTTTGGCCAGCTTGGACAACTTTTTTCTCAATTGTCTTAATAGCCAAGTTTTGAGTCATTGCTTTATGTTTGATAATTAAAGTACTTCCGTGCATGCCTCCTCTGTGTATCAGGAATTCAGCTTAGTATCTTTGATAGTATTGTTAGATCTATCATGCCCCCCTTGCATTGTTCTCTGATTGTAACACAATTCTTTGACTATACAGATAAAAGTGGAAAGCTCGAATGCATATCTGTTATTGCAAAAATAGGACCCCACTTTACAATCTGTTGCAGAGCTGAAAGTCCTGCTTCAATGGATGAGTTGCCTCTTTGGAAATTTGAAGACCGTGTGGTTACCTATCCAACCAAGGACCCTGCTCTGGCATTCTCTGGTCAGAAGGCTACTCAGGTTGAAGAGCCAGACCCAGAAGTGGACCTTAATTTAGGTGCTTCTGGCCCTGCACTGATTGGAGAGAGCTTCATAGTCCCTGTTACTGTCACGTCCAAGGGCCATGATGTTAACTCGGGTGAGTTGAAGATCAATCTGGTGGATGTAAGGGGAGGTGGTTTGTTTAGCCCAAGGGACACGGAACTGTCCATGGATAGTCATCATGTTGAACTTCTTGGTATTTCTGGACCAGACGGGGAAGATGAATCTCAACTAAACACTGATGAAATTAAGAAAATTCAACAGTCTTTCGGTTTGGTTTCTGTTCCTTTTCTCAAAAGTGGAGACTCGTGGTCTTGTAAATTGGAAATCAAGTGGCACAGACCCAAACCAATTATGCTTTATGTATCATTGGGTTATTCTCCAGATACTAATGAATCGAACACACAAAAGGTTAATGTCCACAAGAGCTTGCAGATTGAAGGAAAGAATGCAATCATAATTAGTCACCGTTTTATGCTTCCATTCCGGCGGTACCCATTGTTGCTTTCTAGGACAAGGCCAGTTCCTGATACTGATCGGTCAGCATCAATGCCATCAAACGAAACAAGTGTACTTGTTGTTAGTGCTAAGAACTGTTCTGATGTGCCGCTTCAGTTGCTATCGTTATCCCTTGAAGTAGATGGTAATGATGGCACGGAAAGGTCATGTTCTGTGCAACATGGAGGTAAGGACCTATTGGACGCTGCCCTTCTTGTTCCAGGAGAAGAGTTCAAGAAGGTTTACACTGTCACTTCTGAGATGAATTCTTCAAAGCTTAAGTTAGGTAATGTGTGTCTTACATGGAGAAGGGATTCTGGGTCTGAAGTGCAATCTGGTTCTAAAGCTTCAGTTTTAACTACACACAGACTTCCTGATGTTAATCTAGAGTTGTCACCTTTGGTGGTGAGTTTGGAGTGCCCTCCTTATGCAATCCTTGGAGATCCTTTCACATATTTTGTTAGAATTCAGAACCAGACAGAATTGCTTCAGGAAGCCAAAATTTCATTGGCAGATGCACAGAGTTTTGTATTAGCTGGGTCTCACAATGATGCCATTTTTATTCTTCCAAAGTCTGAGCACATCATCAGATACAAGCTTGTGCCACTTGCCTCGGGTGCACAACAGCTACCAAGATTTACGTTAACCTCAGTTAGATATTCAACTGGGTTTCAGCCGTCAGTTGCTTCATCTACTATTTTTGTGTTTCCCTCTAAGCCTCATTTCAAGATGGTTGCTGTGGGAGATGATAGGTTGGAATCATTGGTGGCTGAATGACTCCTGCCTCTGTTGAATAAATTTTGTGAAGAAGATGCAAAGTGGATGTTATGACAGGCTTGCTAGATGCATGTTGTTGGATAGGTGCACCCTGTATTTGACTACCACTGAGCAACGACACGGGAGATGTACTGATAAATATCAAGCTCGGGGATCATTGGCCTTGCCACAGTTAGTCAGTATATGGTCTTGCATCTCTTGGAAATGTGGTTTATCAATAGGAGATGGGTTGACCCCGGCCCTTGCATATCCTAATAAGGCAAAAGCATGATGACGATGGGGTGAATTACTATGAAAAAAAAACTTATGGGCGTGGTAGTCCTCCTAAGTCTGGATATGAAGGATATGTAACTGGTTAAACAGATAACCGAGAAAATTACTACTTTATCGAAGCACTGGTAACCCCTTTTCATTACAAGTGGTGTGGGACTTGACTGGGAGTACCTTGTGAAAATTTGTTGTGATGATAGATACCATATAGCTGTGGTCAGATTGTATTGGTGGTACTACTTTCAGTGATGGCTAGAGCGGCTTCTGTGGCGCCCGCGGCAGGGTGAGGTGAGAAAACTAAAGGTGGTGGGAATATTGTTATTTTCCGTGGAGTTTCCGGACGTAGCAGCAGCAACTTTCATGATGACTTTCATTCGTCCCCAGAATAGAGGTTCTACATGAATCCAGTAACTATGAATTTCTTGTGAAGGTGCAATGTTTTTGGTAACATACTATCAGAGTAGGGATCTTTTTTTCGTATAAAAAATTCAAATTGTTGTACTTTGTAGGATAAATATTTGATATGGTGATTATTATTTGTTTAAAGTCATTTTGCGAAGACCAGAGTGAAAATTTTAATGTTGTCAAAAATGTTTTCTTACTCCATTGTCAGTATTTAAATCACAATGAGTTCTTGCCTAATGGAGGGGTACTTATTATGTATAATCTTGTAGGACAAAGATCCTCTCCTAAACCCATTTCCGTTATTCAAATGGCAGAAATTAAAGAATACACACTCTACGTTGCAACTCTGAATGAATTAAATTAAAGAAATCTCCTAATTTAGATTTGTTGCTTGCATCTTCTGTAAAGAAAAAGACTAAAGGATATGAGAGGGAAGTCAATTTTAATTTACCAACACTCTGGATGCACACTCAAATTCATCCTCCATACCAAAATGTTCTTCCTCCAAGCTTTGCAAAATCTCATAATCCATTACATTCTCCTCATTTCCGGCCGTAAAAGCTTCATCAGCAACATCTTCATCACTGAAATCTTCTTTGTTCGTCATCGTTGTTACTAGGTTGAATCCTTGGCTTGTAAAGGAATTTTGGCCGGATATAGCTTTGTAAAGCGGGAAAAAGGAAAAAACATAATGTAGGTGTTAGCAAAGCATTCAAAACAACTTCAAACATTTTGTTCTTGCAACAACTAAGAGAGATAATCTTTTGCCCCTGCATCACACGCTATCCAAAACAAGTGTGATATGAACAGTTCATCAAAATTTTGGACGGTTAGTAAATGGAATGATTTCAATTTTCCCACTTTAATGCATCCAACAACCAGAGAAAAAGCATTTATGAATTTTGTTGTTGTTGATACAAACAAATATTGAGGGAATGAAGTTTTCTCATGCATATATTATCAATGTATCATTAGGGATTGAACTTAAGACCCTGGTCATTTCCACTAATTAAACCCTATTGACAAGCATTTTGAATTGGATGGGTTAAAACCCAGTTGGCAAACATTCTGAATTGGATGTTCTTATCACAGCACTCGCAGACAAGAATTCTTTAGTAAGAGCATCCACAATGGACTCCCTAAACTACCTCCTTAGACAAATTTTAGGGAGGAATCGTAAAAATGCAACTCCAATCACGGTCCCTATCCACCTCCTAAAATAGGGAGTCCTTTAGGAGCTCTTAAATCTGAGGAGAGAGAAAGGACTCCTAGTGGCTCCCTATAATTTAATGCTGCTTTATTTAATGAGTATTTCAAACCTTTATTTAATGCTAACTATTTTTTATTTTATTTCTTAATAGAGATGGACCAATCAAAAAAGAATTATAGCATTTATGACTCTCCAAATTAGGGAGTATGGTTGAAGTTAAAATTTTTTAGAGAGCTCCTAAAATAGATTTCTTATATTTTTAGCCAAATTTTAGCTAAGAAATAGAGAGTATCATTGTAGATGCTCTAAGGGCCTTATATATGGCCCGTATCTCTTAACTATTGAATCAAATTAGTTAGCCAAATTGATTAGCATGATCCAACAGTCGGGGGTCATATTAAGGCCCTCACTACAGAATTCTTGCTATTGAATGACTCTTACCACGTAAGTCAAGAGCCAGCTTAGTACAAAGGCCTAAAACAATACAAAATAGAACTCCCCCGCGCAACGGACTCGGGATATGTAACCCGCCAATTCTAAGTGGGCCCGGCCAACCAAATTCACAAACATAACTAACGAATCCTTAACTTAACTGTCACTCTTTTCACTCTCGACGCTTCTCCATAAACCCTAGCTATAACTCCTGAGTTCATTGAAGCTAGGGTTTTTCTGCAACTCCCCAACATGGAAGACATCGAAATGGACGACGCCTACACTCTCCCCCTAAGCGAAGACGACGACGACATCTGCACCTCAATCCTCTCGCGCTTCAGCAACTCCACGCGCGACGACCACCACCACCTCTGCGCAGCCATAAGCGCCATGTCTCAGGAGCTCAAAGACAAGAACATCCCTTCTACCCCGGTCGCCTACTTGGGCTTCGCGTGCTCTTCTCTTGACGGCCTCTCCTCCCAGCCCGAGCCTCCCGCTCACGTGATCGACGCTCTCCTCACAATTCTCTCCATTGTCTTTCAAAAAGTCTCGGCCGCAATTCTCATGAACAAGTCCGAGTTCCTATCGGAGCTCTTGGTCCGTGTTCTGCAGTCGTCTTCTTTGACGGTAGGTGTAGCCGTCTCAGGGTTGAAATGTATATCGCATCTGCTCATCATCAGAGGCCGTGTCAACTGGTCTGATGAATCTTCATTGTACGGCTTATTTTTGAGCTTCATTACTGATTCTTGCCCTAAGGTAAATAGCTCAAATTTTTATTTGTCCGTTCATGTTGATCGATATTTGTGATGTAGATTATAGGGTAATTTTCACTTTGAAGTTTACTGAGTTTCAGCTTTGTATCACTTTCATAGCTCCGTTATGGGAGGTATGTAAGTGATACTAAAATAAATATGCCACTGACATGAAAAAAACTTGATGTATAGAAGGCTAAAACTCCAACCTAATAAATTTAAAAAGAAATTTATCCTAGATTCTATAAATGTAGTTATATATAGTTTAAATTATACAGCAAGATCATTGCAAATTTGTTTGTTTGGTTCAAACATATCATCATTGCGCATGGCAACAGCTGGAAATTTATTGAAATTGTGCTGGGATGACTGATTGCTAATGTTTGTAACGAGTTTTAGGTGTATCCTAGATAATTTACTAGATTTGTATGCCAATTGCACTCTAAAACAGGTGAGAAGACAATCACATTTGTGTCTTCGTGATGTACTGCAAAGTTTTCAAGGATCACCGCTCACAAGTGTGATATGAACAGTTCATCAAAATTTGGGACTGTTAGTAAAATAGAAGAGTGTCTTTTTCTTTTGTCAATCAACTACAAAACTGCCGTCCTCAAGTACTACAAAACTCTCTTGGAACTGCACCAACCACTTGTTACGAAGCGCATAACAGATAGTTTGAATATACTTTGTCTCAATCCAACTACAGATGTTTCTCCTGAAGTGTTGCTCGATCTGTTATGCTCATTAGCTCTTTCTGTCTCCACAAATAAGACATCTGCCGATGGGATGACATTTACAGCTCGTTTGCTTGGTACTGGAATGGCTGAAGTTTATTCCCTCAATAGGCAAATATGCGTAGTTAAACTCCCCACCGTATTCAATGCACTCAGAGGTTTGTAATGTTCTTCCTCCATTGGCTTTAGTTGCATACATGTTACCTTCTTATACATTACAAAATCCTCCCCCAAGTTCTTGTTTATATCTGTTCCATTGTAGAAAGCAAGACTCAAAAAAGTACTGTGGTGTTTTTCTTTGAGTATGACAGATGTATTGGCATCTAAGCATGAAGAGGCCATACACGCAGCGACAGACACATTTAAGAGTCTCATTCATGTTTGCATCGATGAAAGTTTGATTAAACAGGGAGTTGACCAGATTGTAAAGAATGCAAATATGGATACAAGGAAGTCGGGGCAAACTATAGTTGCTGAAGTGTGTGCTTCTATTGAAAGCTTACTTCGTTATGATTACAATGGTGTCTGGGACCTTGTATTTCATATTGTTTCAGCAATGTTCGATAAATTAGGTATTACTTTTGCTGTATCTGACTGTTTTCCTCTTGTTTGTCACTTTCGATGCACTTACTACCTCCATTTCATTTAAGAGTTGTAACATCTGTTATCATACAGGTGTATACTCTTCTTATTTCATGAGGGGTACACTCAAAAGCTTGGAAGATATGGAGAACTTGCCTGATGAAGATTTCCCTTTTAGGAAACAGGTCTTTTTCATATTATCCAGTTTTAAGAGATGAATACTGTTACTTGTCATTATCTTATAGATCTCTATATTTGCACCATGTGGCTATCTCTATGAGGAGAGCCATATTTCCGTTGCATTGCTTTGATCGTGGATTTCTGGTCAAATATTGCAAACTCATAACATATGTAAACCTCAGATCCAAGTCTCTATCTATAGGTTTGACATCATAATTAACTAGGTCCACCGTTAATATTTACTAGTTTTTTGGTTGCAGGTCAAACTCTTTATTTATTTTTTAAGATTATTTGGAAGCTTCTTGTGTGATGTGTCTATGTTTACTCTCAATTAGTGCAGCAATTACTGATATAATGACTTTATTAATATTATAGCTGCATGAATGCCTTGGATCGGCTCTTGTTGCAATGGGACCTGAAACCTTTTTGGGTCTTATACCTCTTAATTTGGAGGCTGAAAACTTAAGTCAGGTGAATGTCTGGCTCTTTCCGATACTGAAGCAGTATACTATTGGTGCACGTTTGAGCTTCTTTACAGAGTCAATTTTGGGTATGGCTAGAACGATAAAGGAGAAATCTAGAAAGGTATTGAACAGTTCATACTGATGGAAATGCTAGTTGATTATTTCAGATGGAATTTTTTAGTTACATCTTGTATTTGGCAGCTTGAGTCACAAGGACGTACTTTTTCATCAAGGAGTACAGATGCACTTGTACATGCTTTGTGGTCATTGTTACCTTCATTTTGCAACTATGCTTCCGATACTGCTGAAAGTTTCAAGGATCTAGAGCAAGCCCTGTGCAGTGCCCTTAAAGATGAACCTGAGATTCGTAGAATTATATGCTTGAGCTTGCAGATTCTTATTCAACAAAATAAGAAAACTGTGGAAGAAATGAATGATCTGGCTTACAGTGAAGTAGGTAGTGCCAGACATAGAGCTTTGGCTAATTATACCCCTCAGGTTACAGCAGATAACCTAAGCGTGCTCAAGTCATCTGCTTGCAAGTTACTGGATGTTTTATCAGATGTCTTTTCGAATACCACAAAAGATGATGCAGGCTGTTTGCAGGTACTCACACAGATGTTATATGCCTGTCTTGTAGTGTTTGTCCTGCAAAATACTTGCAAATTGGAATTGATTTTAAAATAGTCATGAATTTGTGAGTTTGCTACTGGAGTTACAGCTCCCCTATGAACCATGCATATTCTTGTTAAAACCAAAAAGTAATGAGTATTCCTGACGCATTCTTTTATGCGAGAAAGAGAGGAGGAGAAGAGTTATCTCTTTATCCAATGTACTAGGTACCTGGTAATGGATATTTTAAAGAACTTCAACATAATTGAGCAATAAAGACACGGGAACAAAATGTGGTGGAGACAGACTCTCTATAAGCTCCAATCCCTTTTTACAGTATCACCCTTTTCTACTCTTCTTTCCTCTGCTTCCCCTAACATTCTTGTCTTTTTCAATACTAAAAAATAGACCATTATCTTTGATATATGTTTGTACTTTAAAAAAGGAACTTGTTAATGTGGCTCCAATTTCTGTGAAGTTGAGAATAATTATGTTTGCACCGTTTACAGTCCACAATTGGCGAGTTTGCTTCAATATCAGATGAAGAAGCTGTGTCAAAGTGTTTCAAACATAAAAGGGCACTGCTTTTAAAAGAGGTTACGAAAGCAAAAGATTCTAGAGATTCTAATTCCAACCGGTATACCATTTTCGTTTGTTAAGTTCTTGATTTTTATAATTTAATTATTACTTCTCTCTTTGTGGAATTTCTGACATTACATGAATTCTTCCATCTTAACTGCAGGGCACAACTATTTGACTTGGCAGTTTCATTTTTACCTGGTTTAAATGCTGAAGAGGTTGATGTTCTATTTGGTACAATAAAGCCTGCATTACAGGTTTGAAAGGGTTTCTCTTCCGTCTGGCTATTTTGTTCACTTCTAAGGGATCCTCCAATGCTTGAAAAAAGAAAAAGTTTCACTAACTAAGGGCTTCCTGACTTCAGGATGATGAAGGCTTGATACAAAAGAAGGCATACAAAGTTCTTTCAATCATTCTCAGGGTATGCAATAGTTAATGATTTATATGCTTTGAATTTTATGAATTATCTGTTAAATGCTTCCATTCTGCGACTGAATTGTCATCATCTGTCAGTGGAAAATATGGGAAAACATGATTTACTGGTTGTAATTGATTTGTTTTGCGGCTAATGTCGTAGTTAAAGAAGTGATGGTCACAGATATCAATCATAATCTTCTGGAATACTCATGTTTTCAAAAATATGAAAAAGGAGAAACAATAAGATGAAATTATGTGCTGCTGGGGCATCACCTACCCAGGTTACCGTGGTGTTTTTTTTTTTTTTTCTTTCCCCTAATGGATCTCTTTGCTGAATGTATGGTCAGGACTGTGATAGGTTTCTTTCATCGAAGCTCGATGAATTGCTTGACTTGGTGCTGCCATCTTGCCATGTTTCAGCTAAACAGCACAGACTTGACTGCTTGTACCTCCTAGTAGTCCACCTTTCAAAGGTATCCATAAATAAACAATACCTCAATTTTTAATTCATCTAAGATTCATTCCTTGTAGCGTTAATTCTTAAATTATTGGGAATAAAGTTTAGGTTCAAGTTTCGTATGCATGCCATTCAGTACCTAAGAACTTCGATCTTTTTGTAGAGTGAGGCAGAGCAGAGGCGGCATGTCATCCTAAGTTTCCTGGCAGAAATAATTCTTGCACTTACAGAGGTAAAGTGGTTCATCAGCTGGAATATCTGGTTTAGTATGTAGTTTTAATATTCCTGACGGATAAAATTCTTGCACTGAAAGAGGTAAAAGATCTTGCATGCCGTGGCTTCTAAACTTTATAATTGATATGAATTGTCAATGAATTTTTTCTTTCAATGCAGGCTCACAATAAGACAAGAAATAGAGCTTATGATATCCTTGTCCAAATTGGGCATGCTTATGGTGATGAGGAGAAAGGAGGGAAGAGAGAAGACCTGTTGAATTTTTTTTACATGGTGCTGAATATTGTTTCAGACTGCTCAGTTATTACAGCTCAAATTTACTGATACTTCTATTGACTAGAAGTCTAACCTCTTTTGCCCCCTTCCTCCTTTTGATTATGACTGATTCAATCATCTTTAATTGCATTCCTCTTCTGTGAACCAGAGTAGAAATTCATATATAAATATGTAGCAAGTCTTATGGTCACAGGTAGCTGGGGGCCTGGCTGGTGAAACTCCTCATATGATCAGTGCTGCAATGAAGGGCTCAGCTCGGTTGGCTTATGAGTTTTCTGATCTTGTTTCAACCGCTAGCAATTTGCTTCCATCAACATTTCTCCTCCTCCAGAGAAAGAACAAAGAAATAATTAAAGTATGTTTCCCTCTCTTTTAGATCAGCATTTTGGAGTTATTTAATTATTTTGAGTTAACTGCTTAATAAATCATTGTGTGATTTGTTATTTCAATTGATCTTACATAAATATTTTCATTAATTTTTTATTATTCGTTGGGCTTTTCGTTACTGCAGGCTACTTTAGGTTTCTTGAAGGTATTAGTGGCCAAATCACAAACCGAGGGGTTGCAATCGCACTTGGAAAGCATGGTGGAAAGCTTGCTGAAGTTGCAAGATGCTACTAAAAACCACTTCAAAGCCAAGGTTGCTTCCTTCTTGCCACTGAATTTCGACGTCATTGAATTCAGTTGGTTTGATAACTTGCCCAAATTCTTATCACTTGCTGGTCAAACCTGAATTGATCTCAGGTTAAGTTTCTTCTAGAAATGCTAGTCAGGAAATGTGGGCTTGATGCTGTTAAAGCTGTGATGCCTGAAGAACATATGAAACTGCTTACCAACATACGGAAGGTCTGTTGACACACGTCTTGGTAGAATGAAAATTTCCAGGGTAGTCACTCTTTTTCTTTTTCTTTTCTGATCTTCCTTTTTCATTTGTTTATTGAACACACAGATCAAGGAACGGACAGAGTGGAAACTAGGTTCTAAATCTGAGGAAGCTAGATCTCAAGTTTCCAAAGCAACTACATCCAGGTCTCAGTCTTCCACAGTTTTAAAACTAATAAATGCTCGAGCACAACACATACTTTTGTGCATTTTTATGTCTCATTGTACACACGTGTATGTTGCCCATGAAGCTTTGTATGATATAAGCTTCAATTCAGCTTCTCCTCGGCTATGTTTTGTATCTTTCTGTTATTTTCTATCTTTTTTTCAGGTTAAGCAGGTGGAACCATACAAAAATATTTTCTGATTTTGATGATGGAGAAACTGAGGATAATGATAAAGATTATAAGGCTTCCTTGCAGCTCAAATCCAAAGCATCTTCATTACGGTAGGTTGTATTTCATGTTCTTATTTGATTGGGAATGCTTAGCTTACTATACTATATATGCATATTTCATGATCTTAGTAGCTAGAAGTTTGGGTATCATATACGATGGTCTAGAAATGTTAAAACAATGATTTGATAAATAAACATAATCCAAATTAAGCAAATTTATCCAGCTGGTGATGTAGCCTATGGTTTGTGTTTGCCATTTTTTGCAAGTTGTACATCATCCGATGCCTGTGATAAATTAACACAATTGTTTGTACGTAATACAGAAGAAGAACAAATAAGAACTTGCTTGATCAACTAGAAGATGAGCCACTTGACTTGCTTGATCGGCAAAGAACAAGGTCAGCGCTTTTATCATCCGAGAATTTAAAGAGAAAAATGGAGTCAGATGATGAGCCAGAGATAGATGATGATGGGCGCCTAATAATTTGTGACGAAGCAGAATCGTACAAGAAAAAGCCATCCAAACCTCATTCAGTTGCAAGAAGTGAAGCTGGTGGTGGTTACTTGTCCATAGACTCAAAGAAAACACACAAGCGGAGGAAGACATCAGAGTCCGGGTGGGCTGCCACAGGCAAAGAGTACACTAGCAAGAAGGCTGGTGGGGATTTGAAGAGGAAGGACAAGCTTGAACCGTATGCATATTGGCCACTTGATCGAAAAATGATGAGCCGTAGGCCGGAGCATAGGGCAACTGCAAGAAAAGGGATATCAAGTGTGGTGAAGATTACAAAGAAGCTTGAAGGGAAGAGTGTTTCAACTATTCTCTCCACTAAAGGCTTCAAGGCTTAAGAATAAAAGTAGAGTTCAGAACAAACGAGGTAGCAAGAAGAAAACTAGGTGAAGGCCCCTTTTATGGGACTTCTTGGAACGACACATTTATGGGAAATTTGTATTGAAGGGTCTTTTTTTGTTCTCATATAAATTACAGTAATTTTCTTGATTTATTATTTCATATTGTTCCTAAACCCTAAGCTTAAGGACCCTTTTATGGGAAAAGATTTTGGAAACCACGAAAGGCTTCAAGAAACAATTTTATCCAACAAGGGTAATTCTTCAGTATAGCCGTGTAGTTATACTGAAGAATTGGGAATGACGTCGTAAGAGCAGCTATTTAAATATTCATGTTTTTAAGGTATTACAACGTCGTAGACCTTTCAAATATATTCGTCTGCATTTGGGAATATGGCTTATTTTCACAATTTGTCACACAGCTTGTATAATTTTGGGAGAAGAAACAGAACAGTTAAAAAGAAAATTACAATTAGGCAGTGCCAAAAAGGATTTTATTTTTTATTTTTTATGAACAATCACCACTCCTCAAACTTTGTAGTAGATCCAGGTATCCAAAGCATTCGGGCCTAATGTACCTGCATTGATTAAAAACAAACATCAGATTTTTAGAAGGGAATCGCAGGTAGGTGCATTATGGTTCATTAAAATAAACTATTGTAGGTTTGGTCCTTTACCGTACAGTAAATTATACTACAGGTTGATCTAAAGTGGGAAATAACTTATCCTAAAGATGCCAGAACCCAGAACTAGGGTTACAGGCAGATGATGATGATATTCATCATCGCCACATGGTTCATTGCCAGGTATGCTTAACAGTCAGTATATGCAAAAAGAAATGTATCTAAATGTATGAATTTTGGTAGTAAAATTAAAAATACCCGTGTCGAAACAGGAAATCAATGATGACAAGAGAGCAATTTGGCTTGAAAAATTGTGTCCTTCGTATGATGTTTGCAACATCCGTCACAGGGATCAACTTGAAGCTCTCCACCTCTCCATCTGTCACATGTTCAATAAGGGGAAAATTGCAGATGGTTTAGGATTAAATGAAAGGTGAAAAACGACAAAGCTGAAGGCAAAGTTTACAACTAATATAGGTCTTACCTTGATTCTTAGGCGTGAAACTCTCAGGAAGTTTTAAATCATAGCAAAACAAAACATCCCTTTTGTATCTATACCCATCAATGTCCATGTATGAAACAGCACCAACTGGTATAGCTCTGTATGAGAAGCATTGCCAAACCCATCACTCAGTGTGTGTAAGAGAGAGAGAGAGAGAGAGAGAGAGAGAGAGAGAGAGAGAGAGATGGAGAGGGAGAGATTTTGCAAAAAAAAACAATTTCTAAATTGAGGCAGTGAGTTAGCCAAATAAAGTTCAATTTCATAGCCAAACAAGGCATGCCCTATATAAGATAATATACTGATAATTTAATGGTTAACAAAAACTTACACACTAGAAATGGAACTGGGTATTCCGGCTTCCTCTTCACATTCCTTTACAACATTGTCCCCACATGCAACCCCATGAGGCTGCAATTACAAACAGGGGATACATAATAAAATTCTAGCTCAGAAATGCATTAAGATCATTGCTAACTAGAAAACAGGCTTAACGAAGAAAGGATTGTATAAACTTTATCATTTTTGATAACTTATTTTCCAAGATTGGGAATCAAGAAACCTGCCACTTGCATTTGCTAAGCTTAAAGTAGGCCTCTAAATATCAGGCAAGGAAGAACCACTTGCTCTTCCACTTGCCTCAGATTACAACCATAAAATCCAGCCAATTCTTGGTCGAGTATTTTCACCAATTACATTGACAGTAAAGTTCACCAGAGCCGTCTAATCTAGGAACATGTCATGTAACAGAAGTTACTCTAGCTGCCAAAAGCAAACTAAACTATAGCAAGCTCCCTTTGACAGCCTGAATACTGATAGAATGGAAACTAAAATGCCTTAAAGCGAGTTGAGAGGCTCGTTACAAACCAGTCCCCCAGCAACTAGTTGATCAAGCATCCCTGGATAAGTGGTTTTCTGTTGACTTCTCTTCCCTATCCATAGAAACTTCTTCCCATCCTTTTCAACATAGCCATTCATTTGCACTCCATAAGCCTATTCCAACAAGAAGTATACATAAAAGAATATTAAAAATGAAAGTTGCAAGAAAATCAAATGAACAACAATAAAAGAGTTAGCTGGCTTCCTACGTGGCCATTGAAAAAGCGACCAGACTAATTAACCCTTCAATGCTACCACTGAAATTTCTAACCCTACAAAAAATCTTATATTCCTCTCTAGCCAACACTATAGCGCACAGTCACCTCCAAAACCTCATCATCAATCCCTTTCACAGAACCTCCATGTCGATTTAATAACAAAACTACAGGCACTGCTAGATACATGGCACCAATTAATCCAATGAGTCAGTTGCCATTTATCAGACAGATTAATATAGCCAAAATGACTTGCTAGAGGTGCATCAAAAATTTATTATAATTCACTGTTTAATCACCTAGACCAAGGTAAAAAGGTGGCGCAAATCGCAGAAACAAACCTTTATTCCAAAATAAGGAGCAGCTGCACGTTCTAGAGAGAAAAATATGGGTGCCCCAAAGGATGATGTCACAGGGTATAGCTGATCATCCAAATAAAATGAAACCATAGTTAGCCCAGTTAACAAAACTAGTGTTAATAGTTTATACTGTTACAACAATTGGGGTGAAATTAGGAGGACATGCATATAGGATTTGATTCAGTTAGCACAAACAGTACCTCATTCCTTATACCTGGAATATGTTCTTCCCCTAAGCTTTTGATTACATCTCCCACCGCTCTCGTCCTGTCCTCAGCTGTGCTCAGGGATGAATGCAAGGTTATTGAACTGCCATTAGAGTTTGAATTTTCGGTTGGGAAAGTAAACACGTCCTTGGAACTACGTAAATTCTCAGCAAAACTACAGAATTGGGAAAATTATTCAGTGCCACACCTATATCTGAGCATGAAACGGGTATTTGAATTCACGGAATTTGAGCTTACCCTTTGTGAATGTAACCAACGATTTGGTCCTCAACTACAAAGGAAAGGAACTCAGATTGCGATTCCTGCAAGCAGTTTTAATAAAATGTGGAGTGTAGAGATAAACGAACAATTGGTCTGTTTGGCAGCTGAGAAAATGTATTGTATAACTTACCAGTCCGCGGTTGCAGATTTTGATCTTTTCGCAGTAGCCCCTGAGATCTGAAGGGCCGTCGGAAAGAGTTTCCGGTTTAGATATCCTAACGACGTCGTCCCAAGTGAAGACATCATCGTCTGAGGCACAAGTGAGAACTTTGTGAAAAGCTTGCTGGGTGGAACGAACTGGGAACGACGTCGTAAGCGCCTTGGGGAAAGCGCGAAAAGCTTTGGCGGTAAAACGGAAGGCCAGAGAGTCGATGAGTCTGTGAGGCCGCTGCAGGCCATGAGAGCGAGTTCGATTCTCATTTTACAAGATTACCTTTTATTTGCAACATTACTCACCAATTGGTTCGTGTTGTTCACTCGTGTGTACATAAATGAAAATGATTTGGTTGATTGTGTGTTGCTTTGTCTGTTAATTGATGACCAAGGGTAATGCTAGGCTTACCATATTTTTTATACCACAATTGTACCACCTCTCTAATAGAGGTAGAGCCTACCAATACAATGGGGCCCACCTCTATTAGAAAGGTGGTACAATTGTGGTATGAAAAATGTGGTAAGCCTAGCATTTTTCTTTAAATTTTAGTAAAAACTATGCACCTTTTGATAACCATTTTAATTTTAATTTTTGGTTTTGGTTTTGATTTTGTGTATTAGAGTATAGAGAAAAATGAGAGTGAGAATAGGAGTAAGAATGAGATGAGAGAGGATGAGATAATTTTGAAGAAATTATTTTAAGTTTTAAATAAGAGCTTGAAAAGTGAAAACAATTTCAAATAGATTTCAGTTTTCAATTTTGTTACTCATTCCTCTCATTCTCACCTCTCATCTTCTCTCTCAATCCCAATCTTCACTCTCATTCTCACTTTCATTCTCCTTTTTCCTCTATACTTTAACACAAAAATATAAAAACTAAAAATTAAAATTGAAATAATTATTAAACCGGCCCTAAATTTACTTGGTATATATATATATATATATATCTCAGAGCTGGAATTATTGAATTTATATTTGAGCATTTAAAAATTGCAGGTACTAAAATTCAACTAGTTCATTGTATGTATGATCGCATATTAGAGTTAAAATGTTGTCACATAACTATTTGTTTCTGGGTTCCAAAGGGTTTATTGAACTCCCTTCACATTCTTCCTAGCAAGAAGCAACAATTGGGATCATCAAGCCTTGCAGGTGGGAAATTAAGCTCCCTATAATATATTGAACTGGGTTAATTGCTGCATCCACCCAATTTTTCCCCCATTCAAATGGGCACAAAAATTCCAACAACTTTAAAACAACCTCATCATGAGGCATATTGGCATACTACACGTTCTGATTAAGTTAATTAAGGGCAGAAAAGCAAGGCTCCATAATACCCTACATAAATAAAAGAAACTAGAAACAGGAAGTCTACGACTACACATCTCACTCGTCATAAGCTTGCTACATTCCTCTGAGGCCGTCATAATGTCTGTTTTTACAACCAATACAGTTTTGCAGTTTGCATCTTCCGCATAAGTAAAGAGGGGTTGCACTCTTTCAATTTACAAAGACTCCGGACTAGTTGACGGTCTAATTCTTGAGGGCATTCGCATGGGTTGGTTTATTGCACCACCAAACCTACTATGTAAGGAATCCTTTGGTGTGATTGACATTTTGTTCAATGCAGAGCCAACTTCAGCAAAATCAAAATGTTGTTCCTCCAAGCTCTGCATAATCCCACAATCCATTCCACCGTCATCGTCACTGGCAAAAGCTTCGCCGACATCTTCATCACTGGAATCTTCGTCATCATATGTAGGTTGAACCATTGACCAGAAAATGAAGTTTGGCCGGATGTAACTTTATATATATATATATATAATATATATATATATATATATATACATATATACAAATG